GTGTGTGTGTGTGTGTGTGTGTGTGTGTGTGTGTGTGTGTGTGTGTGGTGGAGGTGGGGGTCAGTTCAGTGAGCCTACGTGTGTTAATTTGTTGTGCCAGAATAACAGGCCCATTTGGGTGAAATAATATGCTACAAAACTGTATGCCCATGTGTGTGCATAGGCTTGCATGTGCATGACAGAGTGCTGATACAGATATCATTGTTATGTAAAGGCTGATGTGTTTTATTCTTTTACACTCCAAAAGAGGAAATACAAACTCAAATGAACTTGCAAAGACCAAGTCATGCATTCAGCATTGCACAAACTGGCTTCTTTCCTGAGAACCAATTTAGATGAATTGTTGTTGGAAACAAAACAGAATGGCTTTATTTGCAGCACCATTTATCAAAAAAAAAGTGACTTATTCAGGTGCACACGAAAATCAAACGAGCTACACTGTTGCATAAATACAAAAAAATATGCAGTTCAWACATTTATTTCTATCTGTCCTTATACAAATAGTGCTTATACTGCTTTGATTTCYGTTCTTAGTCATACTACATAATTACACAAACAAACAACTTTGGAGTGTATGAGTAAAACACAGAATTATTGTTACAGAGCAAACATACTAAGATCCTGGATTTCCAGAGAAGGAAACCTAATGTCAGTYCCTTGGGGAGTTCCCTGCAGCATGCCTGCTGGCAATGTCACGTACAACTAACATAAAAKTAAAATTGTGAGGCAATGGCATCACATTTTGCCAGGAGCTACATTAATCAATATTTCTTCATTTTTTCATTCTTCAAATTTTGTGATCTACATTGATTTTGCACTGTCAGATTTCATCAATGAACAGTGTCACTGTGCTTTGACTCAAATTATTACCTAGTTTGGGTGACTGGAAGTTGGARAGTTGTGCTTGTGTTCTGTATATTGCATAGCCCTACTGAGACTCTTTCAGCTACTGATTTCTTCTTGTGAAGTTAAGCCTTAATGAACTTTTTTCAAATGCATCAATGTCAAATAACCAGTGGTGCTGTGCTCCACAGCCCCAAGAGCTAATTTTCACACACGGTTTCATTTTATTCACCTTTCAGGTAGTTCAGGATTGGAAAAAAATGAGAAAACGTGAACAGGTATTTCTAGAAAACAAAATRTGTTATTATGTAATAGTAAGTGAAAAGAGGCTAGTTTATTTCAGGACAACCACATGAAATCCCCTCAGCTGYATTTGTTGCCAGAAATAGTCAACAGACTCACCTGAATGTGACCCAGCCAGGGAGCTCAGCAACTGAGCATTTTCATTGGCTCCATCAAAAAGCTCCACTGAGTCATTCATTGCTGTCTGGAAAATAGCAAACTGRCCAAACACCACTAAAGAGCACAGACAAATAAATACAAGAAAAACAGGGCCCATTATTGTTACAGTTTTCATGACAATGTTTAAAGTAAAAACTTTGATACCAGAATAAGTAAGTAAGTAAGTAGAATAATGTACTCACCAAATTGTGGGGACACAGTGATGTAATAGGAACATGTTTGTCTTGTGGTGTAATTTAAAGGATAGTTTGGAGACAGAACAACACCCTCTGATCCACCGTACTGTCCTCCACATGGAGCTGCRGACAGAATTAAAACAAATAAAATAAACTGTTTTCAGTAATATACTTTGAGTTTGATTAGTTGTGGCAGCCATCTTGAGTTAGGTTGACCACAAATGTCTAAAAACTGTAGATATATCCAATGATTTTAATCAGTTTCATTCAAAACCTTTGCAAAAAAAAAAAAAAAGGTTATGTTAAAATGAGTTCCAGTGGATAGATTTTAATACAAGAATAAGCAATGGATTTATTTTAGAAAAAAATGAAATCTTATCAGTGTGTCAATGTCTGAAAAAAGTTACATTTCAGTTGAGTTCAGACAGTGATTTCTACTGAGTTGCTGTTTTGTACTTTGATTTTCTGACTACATAAATTCAGTCAACAGTGTGACCTCTATGCTCAGTGAGTTTGATTTGTGCCATTGTTTCTGTTCCAGCACAAGTGATTTCCTCATTCTTCAATATGCAATATATCTGTGGTGTCTCATTTCAAAATGAACAGCCAAAAAGAAAATGATACCTGACTTGTTGCTCTTTGCTCTTCTTGTATAGAACCTATAAGGGTTAGTCATAAAACTGGACTACTCTCATTTCTTTCTCCGCTGGTGATTATTTTAGGTGAAGAACTTGTATTTTTATAAAAGAAAATGCCTAAAGTCGACTTGGTCTGTAAGTGTTCTAATGCACAGCAATAACTTGTGTATGCAGTGTCATTCAACAGTCAAGCTGTCACATGAAATATGTGTCAGAAAGTATGAGACAACCTTTTTTTTCATTCATTGTTCACAATCCTACTTTGGAGTCCCATTTCTAAAGATCAGGGGTCGGATTTATAAAACTGGCGTACGCACAATTTGAGCCCAGGGGTCAGATTTATAAAACTGGCGTACGCACAATTTGAGCCCAGAAACTTGCGTACGCCACTTTTTACGCCAAGGTTGTGATTTATAAAATCCAAACTTGACGTGAAAATGTGCGGTTCCTCACGCCAGCTTTGACCCATGCGTACGCTCATTTTGGATATGCTTTGGATACTCAGATAACAGAGCAGGCAGGAGGGTGAGAGGACGAGGAGAAGATCGGTGAACTTTTTTCATCTGACTTATTTAATTTAATTTTTATTGTTTTTATCGTCCTGCAGGCTCTGTGACAAAATTAATTTGAAGCTGAGTATTTTT